AATGAAGGAGGGATTTTAAAGAAAAACTAATTGCAGAGATTTAAAAAAAAAATGTGGATTATTTAATTATAACTTAAAGTCTCTTACTCTCTCAAGTATAAGTTGAAGTTTCACCAGGATTTAGAAGTATAATAACACTGGAGTTCATAGAAGCAGCACTTGTCTCTGCTGCCCTCAGCCGACGTGCCTTCCCCTCCAGCGTGTGCGGGCTGAGCACCGGAGCAGCTCAGATGACCCAGGTAAATACACACCTGCCACCCCAACACCGACCCCAACCAAAATCATGGAAATCAGGACGGGGGTAAACAACGGCAACCAACCCGGTATGCATATTAAATCCTGCCAGACTAACTGCGTATGTCTTTAGGGTGCTGTCACCTTTCTTTTTGGGCTGCAGGTGTATAACTAGATGCCTGGTAACAGCAGACAGGGTAAAACGCGTTACGCGCACCGGACAGTGAAAGCTCTGGGCAGAACAGACGGTGGGCAGGCACTGGCCCGCCTGCCAACGCGGGCACCCCTCTTACCCGAACAGCCTAATCCTCGGTGTTCCCCAGAGCGGAAAGGGACGAGGCACGAAATCCTCCTCTTTGGGAGACCCTGATCCCCCTTCCCTGAGGAACGAGGGAGCGGACCCGGCCCCCGCCGGACTACAGCTCCCAGAGGGCCTTGCGAGCCACCGCCATGTCGCTCCCGTCAGCGAACAGCGGGGGTTGCGTTGTTGGAAATAAAACCCGTTCTTGAATAAAACTCTCCCAGAGCGTGCTTTGAGCCTGCAGTGAGGCGGGCAGCCGAAATAGTTCATCACTCAGCCGAATTAGCCCTCATGATCTCATTGGGTGCCCTTTGTCAGATGGTGCTTGGCAGCAGGCCAGGGGTCTCCTCTCCCAAGCCCCTGTCTCCCAGAGGAGCTGTAAAGGCGCTTTTATTTCCTGGAGGCAATGTAGTGTCCTGGGAATGTCCTCAAAATACATGGTGGGTCAGCTCATCTCCTGGTTCGGCAGTATTCAACAAGCCCAACTGCTGGTATATCTCACCACTCGCCCCCCTTCCCCTTGGCACTTGGGATGTTTGTCCCAAACACTGCGCCCAGTATTGCTCCACTGTCTGGAGGAGAATGACTTCCCCTTGGAGCACAC